GGAGCCGCGGGGCAAGGGCCCGTTCCGCGTGGGGCTCTACAGCGGCGAGGTGAGCACGGCGCGGGCGCTGGACGAGGCGGACGGGCCTCGCCAGAGGCTGCTGATCGTCGTGCGCGACCACGGCGAGCCGGCGCGCTCGGCCACGGCCACGCTCAGCGTGTCGCTGCTCGAGGCCGCCGAGGCGGCGCTGGCCGCGGGATCCTCGGCGGCGTCGTCGTCGTCGTCGTCGGCGGTGTCGCGCTCGGCGGCGGGCGCGGAGCTGGGGCCCGGCGCGGCGAGCGCGGCCACCAACGTGTGGCTGGTGGTGGCCATCTGCGCCGTGTCCAGCCTCTTCCTGCTGGCCGTGGTGCTGTACGGGGCGTCGCGCTGGGCGCCGCGGGCGGCCGTGCTCTCGGGGCCCGGGCCCACGACGCTCGTGTGCGCCAGCGAAGTGGGCAGCTGGTCCTACTCGCAGCGCCACAGCCGCAGCCTGTGCGTGGCGGACGGCGCTGCCAAGAGCGACCTCATGGTTTTCAGCCCCAACTTCCCTCCGCCGCCGCCCGGCCCCACAGCCAAGGACACGCAGCCGGAGCCCTCCGCTCTCCTCGGCACGGTCAGTGGCACTGCCTTGTTCGCATCTCGCTCTTATCTTCTCCGCCTCTTTTCCCCTCCATCCATTCTCTTCCTCCTCCTGGGTAGTTCTTGCTTCTAGGGAGGTCGCGCCCCGCAGCCTTAGGGCAGTGGGTGTTTAAGGATGTTAGTGGGACATTTCCATCGTCGGCCTTTCCTTGCCTGGTTTTGCAAGTTCTTGGTGCGTGGAAACAGAATTAAGTTTTTATGGCACCCCAGAGCAATTACCTTCCGCAGGTGAGTCTCGCTGTGCTGGCAGGAGTTTTACTCAGGAATGAAATCACTGCCTGTTGTTGTGAGAGGTACCCCGGGTGCCAGCTTTGCAGGCAACTTTGTTACGTTTTTGCATGAAGGGTTTCAATGCCAGCTTGGTGCAGGAATTCAAGAAAAGCCTTGGTGGTGACAGTCCCCCAGTCACGTTGTTTTGACTTAATGCCTTTGCTGACTTCTGACTATGTTGGTATTAGGTCAGGATTGTTATTGGAAACTGTCCTCTTTTATTTTCCTTGCCTGAGATGTGACACAAAATTACACTTGCGATTTCAACTATTTGACTCCCCGTGGAAACAACAATTCTGCATTTAGGTTCCACCATCAGGCTCATTAAGAAAGTAGGAAAGGAAGCAGTGACTTTACTATCACCTTTTCCATTGTGTTATTTTTTCCTTTCTGTAAGGGAAGCAAAGCGTAGCATGTTTACTAAAGTGAGTGTGGCCGTGGCAGGGTTAGGTCCAGGTTTGTATTGATGTGACCTTGAGCAGAAGAGCTGCCTGAGGAAGGTGGAATTCATTGAGAAGGGCATGGGCCGTGTGTTAAGACAAGAATGAGTCATGATGTGGTTGTCTTGAGAACTCATGTCCCAGAGTGATGAATGAAGGATACCCTGAGAAAACTGTGAGGCAGGATGGGCACAGAGTGCTCCTGCCTGGGATCCTTTGCAGAAGTTCTAAGTTTCTGGAGCTGGAGGCCTTGTGGACCCTGAGATGCTGTATGGTATTGAAATGTCCTTTGAGGTGATGAAGTTCTCCCAGAACAGAAAGAGGTTTGTGCTGATACATCATTACTGTATGGAATGTGTTGGTAAGAGGAAATGCAATGATGAAGATTGTTTAATGAAGCACTACCCTCTTTGGAGGGAGGCATTGTGGGAGGGTAGGACTGGAGCTTGCTGGAGTCCTTGTGTAGGAGTCCACATCTAAAGCAGCTTCCTGAGCTGTTGATTTTGCCGGATGGTTCCTTGCTGCTTGTCAAGTGGGATTTGCAAGAGGATGTGATGAGGAAGAGGGTATAATCTGTGTGTGCCTCATATCTCCTACCTGAGCACTTGCAGGGTCAGCCTCAGTAGAAATGGGTGTTCCCTGGTCATGCTTAACCCTGACACCTGCATGGCCACAGCAAACCCTGCCGAGCAGCCCAGCCCTGATGTTATTGTAGAAATTCTCCCCCACAGTTTGACTGTGCTTGTGCTTCAGCATTTGGTGTGGTTCTCTCAAAATAAAAATACATCTGGTCCAGGATCAGAACTGTCACTCTGATGACAGAATTTTTAACATCACTAGTGTGTGGCTTTGTGGTGTTTCCATCTAAGATTGCTGAAAAAGCTCAGCACGTGTAGGGTAAATTGCATCTCTTCCTAAGGTCTTTGTGCCAATTGTGAGGGAAGGTGGGGATGTACAAAGGCCTGGATCATGCTAAGAGTGGGTTTTATTGCTGGTGCAACCTGTTTTGGTGGGGCAGTTTGGCTGCTACAGCTGTAATCCTCCGAGTGGCAGGGAGTACTGCTTGGGCCCTCTGTCATGACTTTGAGTGGAGAAGTTTATTACTGAGGCAATGGAGATGCTGTGGAGCATAAGCCCTATCACTGGGGAAGAAAAGCTCCAGCTGCTTAGCTGGAGATTCATTTCCCAGTTCTTGGGATAGAGGATTCCACTGGAAAACCTTGTGAAGACACCTGTCACCCAGGGTTGCTCTCCTGGGATCCTCTCAGGTGCTTCTGAAGTCCTGTGTATCCTTGGTATTCTCTGTGCTCTTCCTGGCAGATGTGAAGACATCTTCCATACAGAACTTAGATCCCTTGCTTTTGAACATATGGTGTTGGTGAAACAGCAGCATTTCCAATTATCAGTCTTGCTTGGTCAGTCTTCTCTGAAGCTCTCCTGGTTTATATCTCTGCTCTTGTCTTGATAGGGAGTGGAAAAACTTCTGTGCATAACCAAGAAGTTTACAGACTTGGCATTTTAATATGGTGGAATGGAACCTTCTAGTTTTCTTCTCTCCTTTTACCAAAACATTCCATCTTTTAATATTTTTCTTCTTTTGCATTGGCCATGTGTTGTTAAAGTGGATGAAATGCAGACTGCTGAAATTTGGCAGCTGTCAGGTAGCAGAGTTTGCAGTAGTTGACCACGGGTATGAGAGATGGATTTTCCAGTCTTCTCAGCTGAGGCTGAGGTTGGGAGAATGTCCTTAGATTTGCAGCATCTCTTCTACTTAGCATGTGATATAAGTACATGAAGGATTGTTGTGATCTGTTCAGTGATTTAGAGGCTTTTGGAGAACGTGGGTCATTTTCTCCTATTCATCTTCCCCAGAAATCTCTGATAACATTAAAAGAAAATATGCTTCAGAACCAATTCCCTCTCTTGACAGTAAATATTTTCTGAAGAAGGAGTCAAGGATGCTTCAGGTAAGTTCCTGCTGCCTAAAGAAGATGAGTCTGGAATACAGTTGTACCTTTATATGTGTTTAGTCATGGTATCTTCGTTTGGATTGACCGAATGTGCCTGGATTTGGAGCTGGACTTGATGATGCTTATGGGTGCCTTCAAGTTTGAAAAGTTCTTTGATTCCTTTACTGGATCAGCAGAGCACCACTGCCTCCTCCCATTCCTAACTTCTTTCTCCAGACACAGTATGAGCAAATCACAGCAAGCACAGAAGAAGTAGGGACCTTAACGCATTTTTCAGAGTGGATGTGTTGGGAGTCAGGAGTGTTTTCTCAGAGAAAATGACAGAGCTAAAATGGCTCTGTTGCCTTTACCTCTTGGATCAGCCTGCACGGAAGCATTTCATGGGAAATATACCCCTGGGGTTGGACATTCTTTCTGTGTGTTTATGACTGTTCTGGCCTGCCTGAATGAAGAAGCCAGAAATTTACATTCAGCATGCAGGTGGCAAATGAGGCCTGAAGAACAGCTCTTCATCAGTGTATATGAAGAGTGCTTGGAAGCTGTGGTTGCTCCAAATTTTATTCAGCAATCAGGGAATTATATACTGAGCCACTATGGCTTTGAGTTCCTGAAGATTCTCTGGGTTGTTTGTGCTTAGTCAAGTGTGTTTACACAATGTCAAAGTACCTAGGGATTGGGCCTGTGTTTCAGAAGGCTGTGAATTCTCTCCCTTGAGAGGATGGAGCCTGAAGAGTGTGATTTCCTTCCAGAAGGTGAGGTGAAAGAGCAAGCTGGCAGTCTGGCACAGATTGCAGTGAGCAGGAAGTTTGCTCGTTAAGTGGAAAGATGAAAGATGTCAACTGAGGGGAATGAGAGGTGTCACCAATGGTGTGTTTGTGCTTCATGGGGAGAGTGAAGTAATGGAAAAATACATTTGTAAAGGAGATGAGGAAGAAGAGAGTATGTGTGTGCATAAGGAGAGTGAAGAGGAAGATGGGAAAATGGAAGAAATGAAGGATGGACGGACGAATTTACTGGTATGTCCCAGATGCTGTCACTGTAAACAGAAAGGGAGAAGAGCATGAAAGGAAGACATGAAAGGAGTGAGAGAAGAGGAAGAGAGAAGATGCTATGAAGGTATTAGACAAGAAGGTAATTAAGAATGGAAGATGAGAAAGACGAAAAAGAAATCAACAGCGAAGGTGATGAACAGTACGAAACGCCCTTACCTCTAATCGCTGGGTGGAGCTGGTTCTCAAGAGCCCCCGCCTCCATGCGAATATTCCGCGGTCCGACGCTAATGCCACGTAAGTGGAGTTGGTGGATCCAGCTTGCTTTTTCTGCAGTCAGGCTCCGGAGGCGACGGGCGAGATAGCAGAAGGGGGAAGAAGAGAGCAGCGGAAAAAGTCCAAAGGCTAAAATATAAAAGGAGCACGGTAAGAAGAAACAGCAGAGGAGATGGCTATGACGGATCAGAGGCACAGGAGCTGTCACGGAGCGTGTGAGGCGGCGGAGCAGCGCACGGTGTCGCTGCAGGCTCAGGAACGGCTCGGTGTGGGCGGCTCCGCCCCGGTGCGGCGGAGAGCCCGGCTGTGAGCGCGGGGGGGCGGCTCGGGCCGGGCAGCAGAGGCGGCGCGTGCGGGCGGCGGCGGGGAGCCGTGCGGGGCCCGGGCCGGGGCCGGCAGGCAGAGCGGCGGCGGCGGCGGGCAGAGCGGCAGGAAGGATGGGCGAGCGTTGTTGTGCGGCGCTGGTGCGGGTGCTGGTGCTGCAGGCGGCCTGGGCGCTGTCGGGCGGGCAGGTGCGCTACTCGGTGCCGGAGGAAGCCAAGGCCGGCACGGTGGTGGGCCGTCTGGCGCAGGACCTGGGCCTGGAGGCGGGCGAGGCGGAGGCGCGGCGGCTGCGGCTGGTGGCGCAGGGCCGGCGGGCGAGCGTGGAGGTGAGCGGGGCGAGCGGCGCGCTGCTGGTGAGCTCGCGGCTCGACCGGGAGGAGCTGTGCGGCAAGAGCGCGCCGTGCGCGCTGCGCCTGGAGGTGCTGCTGGAGCGGCCGCTGCGCGTCTTCCATGTGCAGCTGGAGGTCACCGACATCAACGACAATGCCCCCGTCTTCCCCGCCGCCCGGAAAAACCTCAGCATCGCGGAATCGTCTCTGCTGGGGTCTCGTTTCCCACTGGAGGGGGCGTCGGATGCGGATATCGGGGCGAACGCGCAGCTCACGTACACACTCAGCCCCAGCGAATATTTTACACTCGATGTGAAATCGTCGGATGAAAACAGAAAGTCTCTGTTTCTGGTACTCGCAAATTCCTTAGACCGCGAGACAATTCCCGTGCACCGGTTGGTGCTGACGGCGACTGACGGGGGCCGGCCGTCTCTGACGGGGACAATGGAGCTGGTGATCTCGGTGCTGGATGCGAACGACAATCCGCCCCAGTTCAACCAATCCGTGTATAAAGTGCAGCTGCCGGAGAACGCTACAGAGGGGACGCTCGTAGTACGTGTGAATGCCACGGATCCGGACGAAGGAAGCAATAAGGAGTTTTCTTACAGCATCTTGGGTTCGACTCCTATTGGTAACAAAGAACTCTTTACTATTGACACCAAGACGGGCGAGATCAGACTGAAGAGTACTTTGGACTTCGAAGACGTTCGTTTACATGAATTGCAAGTCGAAGCGACGGATAAAGGGACACCACCGCTGTCGGGTCACTGCAGCGTGGAGCTGAAGGTGCTGGACGTGAACGACAACGCGCCGGAGGTGTGGGTGACGTCGCTGTCGGTGCCGGTGGCGGAGGACGCGTCGGTGGGGACGGTGGTGGCCCTGCTGAGCGTGTCGGACCGGGACTCGGGGGAGAACGGTCGCGTGCGGTGTTGGGTGTGGCCGGCGTCGCCGTTCGGTCTGGAGGCGACGTTCTTGGGCTCGTACTCGCTGGTGCTGCGCGAGGCGCTGGACCGGGAGCGGGTGTCGGAGTACGAGGTGGAGGTGCGTGCGGAGGACGGCGGGGCGCCGGCGCTGCGCGCCAGGCGCGGGCTGCGGGTGCCGGTGTCGGACGTGAACGACAACGCGCCCTTGTTCGCGCAGGCCGTGTACACGGTGCTGGCGCGGGAGAACAACGCGGCGGGCGCGGAGCTGGCGCGGCTGTGGGCGCGGGACCCGGACGAGGCGGCCAACGGGCGCGTCAGCTACTCGGTGTGGGACGGCGGCCTGGGCGTGGGCGTGGGCGGCGGGGCGGCGGGGTCGTCGTCGTCGTCGGGTGGCATGGGGTGGCGTCCGGCGTCGAGCTACGTGTCGGTGGACGCGGAGAGCGGGCGCCTGTGGGCGCTGCAGCCCTTGGACTACGAGGAGCTGCAGGTGCTGCAGTTCGAGGTGCGCGCGGTGGACGCGGGGGAGCCGGCGCTGAGCGGCAACGCCACGGTGCAGCTGTTCGTGCTGGACGAGAACGACAACGCGCCGGCGCTGCTGCCGGCCGCGGGCTCGGCAGCGGAGGCGGCGGCGGCGGCGGCGCTGGCGGGGGCGGGCTCGGAGTCGGGCACGCTGTGGGCGTGGGCGGCGTGGGGGGCGCCGGCGGGGCAGGTGGTGGCCAAGATCCGCGCCGTGGACGCCGACTCGGGCTACAACGCGTGGCTGCGCTACGAGCTGTGGGAGCCGCGGGGCAAGGGCCCGTTCCGCGTGGGGCTCTACAGCGGCGAGGTGAGCACGGCGCGGGCGCTGGACGAGGCGGACGGGCCTCGCCAGAGGCTGCTGATCGTCGTGCGCGACCACGGCGAGCCGGCGCGCTCGGCCACGGCCACGCTCAGCGTGTCGCTGCTCGAGGCCGCCGAGGCGGCGCTGGCCGCGGGATCCTCGGCGGCGTCGTCATCGTCGTCGTCGTCGGCGGTGTCGCGCTCGGCGGCGGGCGCGGAGCTGGGGCCCGGCGCGGCGAGCGCGGCCACCAACGTGTGGCTGGTGGTGGCCATCTGCGCCGTGTCCAGCCTCTTCCTGCTGGCCGTGGTGCTGTACGGGGCGTCGCGCTGGGCGCCGCGGGCGGCCGTGCTCTCGGGGCCCGGGCCCACGACGCTCGTGTGCGCCAGCGAAGTGGGCAGCTGGTCCTACTCGCAGCGCCACAGCCGCAGCCTGTGCGTGGCGGACGGCGCTGCCAAGAGCGACCTCATGGTTTTCAGCCCCAACTTCCCTCCGCCGCCGCCCGGCCCTGCAGCCAAGGACACGCAGCCGGAGCCCTCCGCTCTCCTCGGCACGGTCAGTGTTCCTCTGTTTCTCGCTCTGTCCCCTCTCACCGCCCCCTGCGCAGTTCCTACCTGGAGCTGTATTTCGCCCTCGCGCCGTGGGGCGCTCCGTGTTTCATGGTCATTTACCCTCTGGGTGCTGGTTGTATTGTCCCTCCTCTTCGATGCCTGTAATGTGTTGTATCTTGGAAGGTTTTTTATGCCAATGTGATCTTCTCTCTTCTTTTAACCTTGTTAAGGAGGGGAGCTTGGCAAAATATTTAAATCTTGCTGACCTCTGTGCCAAGTTGAATGAAATACTTTTTTTTCTTGCAGTGTCTTGTGAGTCTTGCATTTTTGATATTATTGAGAATAGAGTTCATCTGTATGTCACTTTCTTCTCTATTTTGTAGTTCTAGAACCTTCAGTAGCTGTTTCAGAATCAGTCATAATCTCTCTTGAAGCCACATATTTTTCTTGTCTCCTCTGCTTTGTAGTCCCCTGCATCAAAAATATTTTGCCATTTTCTTACCAAGGTCTTCAGAGTCATCATCTTTTTCTGCAGTTATTTCTTGCAGACCTGTATTTGAACTCTGCTTCATAGGGTGATATCTCCTGTAATCTTTGATACATCACTGTTCATGACTTTCTGAGATCCCCTCGTGAGTTACTAAATAGAATAATTCTTGATAAAGATTTCTGCCCGACTGGAGTGTTAACCTTATCTTGCTGGTCTTATCAGGTCTGATTTTCTTCCACCTGTGGAGTTAATCACAACTCTGAGCGCCTCTTTCAGTCTTTCATTTTGAATGGAGTGTCTTCACTTGCCCACATTTCCCTGTCTTACAGGTGGGGCAGTTCTAATGAATTTCTTGCTTTTAACTGCTGTGAATTGCTGGATTCCAGTCTTTTCTTACTCAAATGTCTCTCCTCCTCTGTTGCACCTTTGAAACAAAAATCTATATTTAAAGTTCTTGTCTCTTTACCGTGCATGGTATATATTAATTTGTGAAGTACTACAGAATTACTATGAACGTGAAAATAACAGATGCATTTTACACTTCCCCCTTCGAAGTATGATTGAAATGAACTTTCTGATGTAAGGTACTTAAATGCAGAAGAACACAAAACAAAGCAGATGTCAAAATGTGCAGCTGTAGTGCTAGACTGAGCAAGACATGTTGGTAAAGGACTTGATTTTGATGGTTAATGTATTTGTAGAAGCACCTCAGTTTGGTTTCTGACTTGGGTAGTCCTATGTAGTCATCAGTCATAGGCATTGTATTTCTAGGATGTTGTGGGGTTTTGACATGATCTTATTTGTGTTTACTTAATTTAATTTTGTTTTTCCCTTCCCTGAGAATAGGTTTTTAAATAAACTGATTTTTTTTTTGTCTCATTGTGTGCTTGCCTTATGATAATCATGTGGAAATGAAGATGGATGATGCTTGAAACTCCCAATTTCCAGAGAGTGATTTAGCTTGACTTTATCAGGAGATGTGTTGGCAATTGTGAGTGAAAGCAATGCTGCCAAATAATGCTCTTTTATTTCAGAGTCTGTGCTCCTTAATATATACATTATAATATTAATTCAGCTTAATAGATACAGCTGAAAAATAAAGGGTGGCTCCACAATGCTCCATAATCAGAAAGCAAACTACTGGAACAGAAGATTTCACTGGAAAAAATGTTAAGCCTAAGTGCTAGAGAATTCTGAGCTCCAGAGTTACTCCTCCTGCACTGATGCTGTAGTGTCATTGCCCAATAATATTTTCACTGAACTGTGCTTCACTGTCTTGTAGTCTCTTAAGGTCAATTTTACTTTGAGAGAAAGCTGTGAGGCTTCAGGTTTCCTTTGTTTCTGCCTTCATAGAAACGGATACAGAAATGTTGGCAATACAGCAGGGATTTAAGACAATGGAAAAAACCTGTTTGCTTTCCTGAAATTTTGAACAGTGATCCTTGAACACAGGCCTAACAATGGAGACCAATAATAAATCAAGACAACAGTTAGAATAGCAGCAGGTGTCATTAAAAATATCTCTTGACAGACCTGCATGGACTTTTTTAGCGTTTTGTATGTTCCTTTTTTTGCTGTTGCTTTTTACCTTTGGGTGCATGCATCGTTGATTCTTCCTGTAGTATAACCAGCAACTCAGTAATCTGTGAAATTCCCTGGTTTCTGTTACTGCCTGGCCTAGAGGGCAGGGCAGCAGAAAGTGCTGTAGCTGTGTAGAGAAGAGACTCTGATGTCTTTATGTCAGTAGATGAGGTGGGAGCCTGGGAACCTGTTATGAGATGAACTGTGCTTTGCCAGAGCAGTGGTGCAACCCTTTTATCTCATCCCCAGTTGTGCCATGGTTGAATGGTTCTGCTGTGTCCTGCAGCAGCTCATCTCCATCAGTAACAGGCACACGGTTTTGCCATACTGTGAGTTTCTACCTGCCTAAAAATGATAACCAAGACCTTGACCTTCATTGTGCAACTACACTAGGGGGATAAAACTTAGAGAAAATACTGATACATAAAGATGAGAGAGTTCAGGTTCCCTGAGCTATTTCACCCTTCTGAGAGGATTTCTGCTGTGTTGGAAGGTTGAGAGCGTAGAGTTAGGGAGTCACTGATGGAATTTAAGGTCTCTGGAATTGGTATTTGATGCTTTACTAGGTTGGAAATACACTTCAGAAGGTAAAACAATTCTGCTATGGACAGACACAGGTACTCTTTGTAATATGATGGGCTTACTGTATTATTTACTCTACGAAAAACCAAGGAGACAATGTGGAATTGCTCAGCTACATCCCTGTCACAAAGCCATGAAAAGGTAAGCAATTTCTGTTAGTTTCTAGCATTCCTGGACTAGACTAAGTACATTACATGTGAATCGATGTCTTCTGAAGACCTGAGTACTTTCTATAGATGGAAGATCAAGGATACAGTCTTCTCCTGCAGAGGAAACAGCTGAAGTATCTTCCGGAAGAAAACATAAATGAGAAAATTGAGTTATGCCTCCTCAGGCATGAGAGAAGATGAAGTCTGGAGATCATAAGTAGCTTTATGCAGTGAAGATATTCCTCGGAATGATTCCTAGGTTAATATGGGCGTTCAATTGAATGTACATTTTGGCAAGTAAGTGCTTCTCAGTTAAAGTGCCTTAAGGAAGGAGAACTGGAAGAAGAGAAGGAGAAGGGAAGGAGACAAAAGGACCAACTATTACGGCTGCGGAGGAAGGCAGTGTTCGGAAGGGAAATCTCGGAGCGCGTCGGCCGAGCGGGCGGAGCCACGGCAGGTCCGTCCCCGCGCGGAGCCGCAGCGGGAGGAGGGCAGCAGGAGGCTGCTCACGGGAGGAGCCGCGGTCGGACACCAGGTGCCGCTGTTGGCCGCGAAGGCGCCGTGAGCCACGGAAGGGCGGCAGCTCCTCCCCGAGCCTCAGTCACGGTACCGTCAGCCGGAGAAAGGATGCGCCGGACAGGCCCGGGCGGGGCGCCGGGAAAGCGGAGCGGCGTTCCGCTTCTCCCAGGGAGACCCTGAGGCGGACGGCGGGGGAGCGGCGGAGAACCGGTCAGGGCCAGGGCAGGCAGCGGAGGCGACAGCGGCGGCGATGCGGTGGGGGCCCGTGCTGCGGGTGCTGGTGCTGCAGGCGGCCTGGGCGCTGTCGGGCGGGCAGGTGCGCTACTCGGTGCCGGAGGAAGCCAAGGCCGGCACGGTGGTGGGCCGTCTGGCGCAGGACCTGGGCCTGGAGGCGGGCGAGGCGGAGGCGCGGCGGCTGCGGCTGGTGGCGCAGGGCCGGCGGGCGAGCGTGGAGGTGAGCGGGGCGAGCGGCGCGCTGCTGGTGAGCTCGCGGCTCGACCGGGAGGAGCTGTGCGGCAAGAGCGCGCCGTGCGCGCTGCGCCTGGAGGTGCTGCTGGAGCGGCCGCTGCGCGTCTTCCATGTGCAGCTGGAGGTCACCGACATCAACGACAATGCCCCCGTCTTCCGTGTGGACGAAGAAACCCTTAACATCGCGGAATCGTCTGTGCCGGGGTCTCGTTTCCCGCTGGAGGGCGCGTCGGATGCGGATATCGGAGCGAATGCGCAGCTCACCTACACACTCAGCCCCAGCGAGCATTTCAGTCTTGATCATCAGGGGAATAATGACCAGAGTGCGTCTTTGGGTCTTATTTTAACGAAACCTCTGGACCGCGAGACAATTCCCGTGCACCGGTTGGTGCTGACGGCGACTGACGGGGGCCGGCCGTCTCTGACGGGGACAATGGAGCTGGTGATCTCGGTGCTGGATGCGAACGACAACGCGCCCCAATTCAACCAGTCTGTGTATAAAGCTAAAGCCCTAGAAGGTTCAGAGCTCGGGACTCTGTTAGTCACGCTTAGTGCCACGGATCCTGACGAAGGGATCAATAGCGATATTATATATGTATTTAGTAGACATGTTAGTACAAAAGTTAAAGAAATGTTCACCATCGACGAAAACAAAGGAGAAATCAGACTGCAAGGCAAATTAGACTATGAAGAAATGAATAGTTATGAGATCCCTGTAGAAGCAAGGGACAAAGGCTCCCCCCCGCTGTCGGGTCACTGCAAGGTGGTGCTGGAGGTGGTGGACGTGAACGACAACGCGCCGGAGGTGTGGGTGACGTCGCTGTCGGTGCCGGTGGCGGAGGACGCGTCGTTGGGGACGGTGGTGGCCCTGCTGAGCGTGTCGGACCGGGACTCGGGGGAGAACGGTCGCGTGCGGTGCTGGGTGTGGCCGGCGTCGCCGTTCGGTCTGGAGGCGACGTTCTTGGGCTCGTACTCGCTGGTGCTGCGCGAGGCGCTGGACCGGGAGCGGGTGTCGGAGTACGAGGTGGAGGTGCGTGCGGAGGACGGCGGGGCGCCGGCGCTGCGCGCCAGGCGCGGGCTGCGGGTGCCGGTGTCGGACGTGAACGACAACGCGCCCTTGTTCGCGCAGGCCGTGTACACGGTGCTGGCGCGGGAGAACAACGCGGCGGGCGCGGAGCTGGCGCGGCTGTGGGCGCGGGACCCGGACGAGGCGGC